GAACCGGCTGTTGCTCATTTCCCGGTATGATACCAAAAAAAAAAAGATAAATTTGCAGCACCTGCGTTGATAAGGGCAAAACCGGAAGCTCGAATATATCTTTACTTTATTACATCCGGATCTCATTTAAAGGAAGGCGCAATGAGAAGCCTTTTATTCTCTTCGTTATCCATGCATTTTTTTTTTAAGTTCGGATGCGTATATACTGAACCTGAATATTCGTAATATATTCGTAAAAGGTTTTTTCGTGGAAATCCCAATTAAAAAGTTTTTCGGAAGTCCAAGCAAAGCGATCTTGATGTACAACAGCAGCTTCGTTGCTCTAATTTTCTAGAATATATCTTACACTGTCAAATCTTTTTCTTTATTAAGTAGAGGTTTCGTTAATTTTTCCATAATGGTGATTTTCTTAAAGCAAGCTTTTGATTCACAAAAATGGCGCAACATTAATTCGCGAGGAGAGGATCTGACAGACTTACAGGATTAATTTTAAACATCCCTTAGTTGACTTATCGAAAGGTCGGACAGGACTCCAAAAATTTTTGACTTCAGTGTTTTTAGAATTTTTTGGTGGGCTCATAAAATGGTCCTTTATTCCTCTTTTTTTCCGGAACCCGAAACTTGATGGCGACGCGCCGAGACGACGCAGGACTTCGAAAAAGTAAATTTTATAATTTTTTTTGTGTGATTTTATGTGAATCACAGGGCGAAGGTTCTGGAATGTTCCGCGAAAGACGATTTCAACATCAAGGAAGTCTTCCGAACTCTGTTACAACTGTCCAAGTACCCGTTTCCCAGTGAGTCCGACGAGGGCAGCAAACTCGTTCGCCGAAGCAGCGCCTACGTTTCCAATCGGTTTGTTCACTCTTTTTTCTTTTATATTATTCTTAACTAAAATTTCTTCCTGTCCATAAAAAGCCAAGAAATCATTTGAAAATCTTCTACTTCAGTAATGAAATCCACGAGAGCTTTGCGGGGTTTCCTCGATTTTTAATCTGGGTGGGGGACCGTGGGGGACGTTGTTTAAAATTAAAACCGTGAGTCAAGTGTCGAAATGATGAATATTTCATGTCAAGTGGCTTCTACAAAAATTTAAACGAAAGGAAATTTCCTTTTTTGGAAGAAATAAATGCTAAAAATGTAGATTATTTGTTCAGAACTTGGCCTTTCTGAAATGTCTCAGTGACATACTGATTGTTTTAATGCCTCAAATAAAATGCCCGTTTGATTACTAAATTTTCAGTCGATTCCTTTTCAGCAAAGATAATCATCAGCTCCGTTTTGATGGTGCACATTCTGAAATATCTTGTTTATTGGTGAAGTTATGACCTTTGAAGTGTAATATACTCGTACATTTTCCCATGTTTGAGGAAACCTGATTATTTGGCTTCTGGCTGCAATCGCTAGATGCATGTGCTAATAAAATACTTCAAAAATGAAAATGTCATGGTTTCACATAAATAATACAGTACTCATTTAAACCAAAGAGTTTTTTCGCTCAATTTCCAGGACTTACCTTTTTTGAAGTTAATGTCAAAAAAGTAGAATTTTCTCCTTTTTCGATGCGTTGATACGTGTAATAACCCGAAAATTTCTCGGAAGTTCAGTTTTTTTTTCACTCATAAAATGTTCGGAAGTCGAGTTTTTCAGATTTTTGGATGCCCTGAGCGAGTCTTTCGAATTTTATTTCTCTTTTTTTTTTTCAAAGGTCGTCCAGCAGCAGTTCCAACAAGTCCTACAGCTTCGTGCGGCGGATGTCGACGACGTCTGAAAACAATGACGGCTCTGACCAGCAGACGAGCCTGAGGGTCAACGGCGCCGCGGCGTCCGTCTCCCATCAGCAGTTGCCGCCACCGCCGCCACCTGCCAAGCCCCGGTCCAGGTCCCTGATCCGCCGCTGCAGTCGCAAGGCCAAGCAGCAAATGCGCGATGCTCAAGTCGACGACTGCGCCGTGTCCTAAACCCAAGCGACCCCTGATTTATGCTCTTTAATCCCTTCATATTATCCTCTTTTTATTTATTTAATTTGTGGTCCTTGAAAATCCACATGGATGGACACCATGCTTTTTGTTTTTCTTCCGGAACAATTTTTTTTTTTTTTTGGACATGGAACATATCACTGAACGATCACAGATAGATATTCCCTGAAATTTATTTACGCCTCAATTGTTATTGATTTCGTTTGAAATTGGGACTTTTGGCGAAATAAGAAGTGACTCAGCCTGTGTGCGTATATGAAGACAGGTCAGTTTTAGTTGTTTCTTATTTTTTTCAAAACTTTGAAGTGAAGCGGGACGAATTTCGAAAAAGATGAAAATGAGCAGCAGGTTTCAAGTTGAAGTTCCTCTGGATATTCTTTCATTTACTCAAATAAATGCTTTTATGTCAAGCTGTTCCCCAATTTTGGCCGAATTACAGAGTCCTTTAATCCAGTTTTCCCCCAGTCAATTTAATGATTTAAGAAATTTGCAGACTGTTCTGAAGAGCTTCCATGGAATCTAATGACCTCTCTTGTCTGTGAATATGTAAACCACGTTAACGTATCTTTTTGGTCCTTTTTAAATCAGGGATTTCCGAAATTTCAAATTTTAGTTACGTGGAGGAAATAATATTGCTGTTTGATATTATTATAAATGACAGGAGAAAATTCACACAGGATACATGGAATCATTCCATCTTTGTTGAAATGTATTGTTTATCCCCCTAATTCTACCCGCCATGTTTTGTTCCTTGCGTGTTGTTATCTCAATTACAGGACGCAGAAAATTTTGACTGATTTTTTAAATTTATTCTAGGCGAACAATCAGGTGAAGCAAGAATTTTACATATTTATCGGGATACTTGCAAATTGAGAGAATTTTAGCGTTATTTAAATAATTGCGGTGCAGAATTTTCTGGAGATGAAAGGTCTCCTGATTTTTCACTCGAGTTGAGAGTGAGAAAAATTCTGCCAATTACTGATGCTGTCCAACTACTTACAAAGAACAACGAAAAATGAACATTATCTGGAATTATCCTCTTCCTCTGGAAAATAATACATACCAGTTACAACTGATGATTTTTAAATCCGTGATAAGTTCTCATTTTATTGGAATTTCCTAATGGAAAAAAACATTCCATTTTTGAGATCCCATTCGGGAAGAAAGAAATTCGCAGTTACCTCCAAGATTTGTGTCCAAAATCTTGATTTTTGGAAGATTGAAAAATAGTTCGAGGCGTATTTTCATTCAAGACTGTTACCTGCCAACAATTTTGGAAGATCTCGCCGTTCGTCTTGCTTTCTTTCAAAAATAGATGTCACCACAAGTTCCGGTGCGTTTCTTCGTACCTTCTCGGAATCGCGGTCTGGAGAAATTGTCGCGTCGACGCGAGAAAAAAACGGTTAATTAACTGTGTGTGACTGGATTACTTCTAGTTTTTTTCATTTCCTATGTGTCACTCGTTTGATCAGCATTAGCAGCTGATTCATCAGCAGAACGAACGAAAAAAAAAAAAAAGAGAAAGAAAAAGCGATGATCTGACGAAGCCACTTTTTTCGCTTCCTGAGACATTCCGCGTCATCGTTGTGATGTTTTAAGAATAAGAAAAGAAAATTGTATATGTGTGTGTGAGCATCTTCATGAGTTTTTGTTCCTTGCGAAACGCAAACGAGGCTGTTCGGATTCCGTTACGAGGAAAGAACAAGAAAAGCTATCCCCCCTTTTTTTTAGGAATTCCCGAAATCAAAAATACGGTTGACCATTATAAATTAACCTTCTGCCAAGCATATCCATGAATTGTATTACTTCTTCAGCTATTCGATCAAAGATTGCTTTTTAACTTTTTCAGCAAAGGTACTTTGAAATGAATCAACAAGGTTTTTGAGATTTAGAAAAATACTCCTTCCTATAATGCTTCTCTTGACGGCGTTCTTTAAAATTTTGTAGCTTTTGAATTTATCAACCAAAACAGTTCTAGAAATTCAGCTCTGTTTAAAAATTCTTTAAATGCCGAAGGATCCGAGTGAGGGTCCTTTAAACTCAATCGATCGTTATTTACGAAATGAAAAACAAACGTGTCCTTCAATTTAAGTGTCTGAATACGAGAAATTCAGCTCTGTTTAAAAATTCTTTAAATGCCGAAGGATCCGAGTGAGGGTCCTTTAAACTCAATCGATCGTTATTTACGAAATGAAAAACAAACGTGTCCTTCAATTTAAGTGTCTGAATACGCGAAATTTCTATTTCATGGATTTCATTCAGAATAAAATGAGGAAAAACATTAATCGGCATCAATAAATTCAACTTCTTCATTTTCCTTTTGGAAGCCAACGGTTTTGATCTTAAAATTGGAAGAAAATAAGCTAGTGATGGTTTCGAATAAAATACGTAAATCAGCGGACATGATGAATGTTTGACTTGCTTCATGAGAATGCCTTTTATTTCTTTCTGAAATTAAATATTACCAATGAATTTAATACTATCAATTACTGCATTTGGATTTTCTTTCCCTGAATTATTCATGATTTTGAAGATGAGATGTGGGCGAGTTTTGTTCAGGTGGCTCAACATTGAGCTGCTTGCAAAGTTGTGTTTTGTGGAATATTTAGAAAAAGAAATACTTGATGTGAATTTGCGACTAAAATTTGATATCGACTGATACAAATGACTGGTGTTGTGAATGTAGGTGTTTTTTTTTCTTAAATTTGTGGATTTTTTTTCCGTTGATCCCGATCACGGTGATGTTTCAGTTTTTGCGAATGCTCGTTTTTTTTTTTAGTATTTCGAGTGTTGACAGGAGGAGGAAATGAAAAATTCTGGAGCTTTGGTTTAAAAAAAAAAGTCTCGTATGATGATGCTGTTTTATTAATCCAACTCGAAAACTTACATCAATTTTATTGATCCAAAAAAAATGTAACGTCAAAATATGAGTTCATCTGATTCAACCATCAACCAATAAAAACCTTTCGAAATTGACATGAAAATATGTCATCCAGAGAGACACAATTGTCTTGACAGCATCTAATCCTTCAACAGGTTCATGTCCCATTCTTTCCATCACTGTTTTTCCACCCACATGTTTATCTTACAGCTCGTCGATCATTATTCCAGTGAGTGATTTTCATCCGAAAATGTTAATCGTGGACCAAGCTATGCAGAAAATAATCTTGAGGGTGTGTCATCGATATTAAGTAGGAATAGATTCTTATCCAAGAATTGAACGGCGACAACACCCTGAAAAACAGACGAGGACACACAGGTTGTAAAAAATATTCAACACTGGCTTTAAAGGACACTCGAATTCTTTGAACAATTTTTTTTCTCTCAACATGCCTTGAAGAAAAGCGCTACCAAAAATGTCCCTGTTTACCGGAAATATAATTGAGGTCAATTTTGTTCGGATTATTAATTTTTTCATCACAATTGGTGCAGTAAGGTTCAGTTTAGCATCATGGTATGGTACGTTTGGTCAGGTTAAACTGATTTTGTTGGGTTTACCAGTGAAGAACTCAAATATGACAATATTATTTTTTTTCCTTTAGTTCGTTTTTTTGGGTGCGTAGATTTCCTGGAGAAACTTCAACTTTGTAGTACCCTATACATTTCAAACTTTACTATTTCCAATCCTGTTGAAATCTTGAAACATAAAGCTTAGATTTCTTTAGATTGACAAGCACGCTAAAAGTAACTTTTTTATTAAATTTAAAATTACTGTACTAAATTCCTTCACACCTAAATTTTTTCTTTCTGAAAAATCGACATCATATAAATAACGTACTTGGCCTATGTTCAACATAATGGTTAATACTCCATGTCGCCTTTACCTCATTATTATCATTATAAACAAGAAGGTGAAGAAAATGGTGATAAAAATTATTGCGCAGTAATCACCGACTTTTACCCAAGCACTGAGGTAAAATTTTCAAGATATACATGACTTTAAAAAATGCAACCAATTTTTTTATAATGACATGCACATAAAAATGTCATTTTTTATTAAATACGAAATAAATTCCTTCAAACCTAATTTTTTTCTTACTAACAAATTTACATAATTTATGCACCGTAATTGGTGCATGTGTAACCTAATCCCAAATACTTGATGTGGCCTTGAGTTGCTGAAATCATCAAACAAAAGTTGAGAAATAGGGTATTTTTAAAAGTCTTGCGTGTACAAACCAGCGACATTTACCAAATAAAGAGGCTCCATTTTTTAGGATAAGGATATAACAATTACAAACGCATATCCACCGGGGTGAATAATTCCCAACACCCTTTATATATGCAAGTTTAAGCATTTCCGGAACCCCAGCATGAAACAACCGTTTTTGTTTCAGGAATGGAGCTAAAGGGACTTTAATGTCCCCACACAGGACAAATATACAGAAGATGCACAAGAGCGAGAAACATGTTCCGGCGAGACGAAGAATAACATCCTATATACATTCAAGAGGTCAAGACAAGTTAAAGAATGCGGAGAATATACACAGAAATGATGGGAATAAAGTGACATGAATGAGACACAAAAGAGAGTGGAGTTGTACAGTATACAGTATAGTGAAACCCTGAATAACTGAGGAAGATAGAGAGAGAGATGAGACAAACACTAGCTGAGTCCGCACGAACGCAGTGACAACCACCACACCATAGTATTGTTAGTAGTAATCTGGCTTCGGTCCCTCAGGGTGAACACACCCAGAAGTGAGTCTTTTTTCTTCCAGTTTTATTGCCTGTGATTTCTATTCGACGGAAAATTAAAAGCTGGTAATTTGTTTTAAAATATACAACATCTTAATTCCTTCAAACCTATTGGAACTACTGTATCGTGCAGAGATTGTACAACTGGGGTTGTTCCATTTGTGACATCCACCTCTGATATTTTTCGAGCAGGTTTGATTGTAAAAAAATGCATCATGGATTATAGCTCATGATTTTCTAAGGTTCTGGTATTTTTCAGATTTTTAAAAACGTTTTTCAATTTACTGCATGATAAGTGAAAACTTTCCAGTTACAGCCAGAAAAGTTAATTTTTTTTAACCATCATTTCTAGAATGTAGAAAAGCTACTAGGTAAAACTACATAAAAATTCCATTTTCAAGTATCCTGACAAATGGTTAGTACCCTGTAACATGAATGGAGTAATTTGTCTGTAACTGAAAATTTCTTGCTCATCATACAGCAGAAAATTGAAAAACTTATTTTTAAAATACAAAACTTCCCTGAACCTTAGAACATCATTGGCTATTGTTATGCCATTACACTACTTTTTTTTTTACAATCACACTGACTCTAAAAATATCAGAGATTGTGTTTAACTGGAACAATCCCAGTTGGACTGGATGCTGTTCATCTGAATAAGAAAAAGTGCCTCTGGCAATTGTATAAGTACAGTCAACCCCTGCACAAAGGACCCAATTTTTTCAACAGACTAGTCTGTTGCGTGAAAAGTCTGTTATACAAATTCAGTTGGCAAGCAAAGGGAGAAGTGAGGGACCTGTGTCCACTGGTGTCACACACTTTTACAGACTGAAGTGTTGCGCAGATTTTGTCTGTTATGCAAGAGGAAAAACTGCCTCTAGTGACAGTCTGTTCTGCAAAAATCAAGTTTTGAATACAGAATTAACCGATGCCTGCATGTTTTTAAAAAATTAGAAAAACACTGCAAAAAAAGAAGGGATATGTAAAATTAATTGATCTATAGTCTGAAATTCTGTGAATTTGTGGAAGTTGGGAGCTTGAAATTCTGAATTGATGTCTGATGCTGAGTGAATTTAGAATGAAAGCTCCTAGATTCAAGTGTCTCTTATTGTGGGTTCATTTAAATAAAGTTCCAGGCTCGTCAGAAACCCCTTCCAAGTACTGTTCACGTTTTATTCAACAGAACTCTTTTTAAAACAGTACAGGATATGATTCGGCGCCAGCCCTGGGGTCAACTGAGAGGCCAGTTCGGCCGTTTTGCTGCCGAAAGAGGGTTCCTAGATGACGCTCTAATCCATGGTCAGCTCGCGCGATATGCGTGCAAGCGCACTTTTGGCAATGGTGCAGGCGAAGCCTGTTCCGCTTGGCCACCGGAAGTGTGGCATTCAAAAACCGGTTTGAGGAACGATTATTTCGGGAAAATTCTGAACCACGAGGCTCCAATTCCGTTGCACTTCAACTTTGCTAAGGATGTGTTCGCTGCGCACGCGATGGACGTCGCCGTAAGTGACATCTATGCTTCAAATAATTTTGCCAAGCTTTGATCTGCACTCGTGTCAGAAAGGTGTCGATTGGAGTAAGTATTTTTTTTTTTTTGACAGACCGGGGATTCGGATGCGTTGGTTCACGTGGCTAAAGATGGCACCGAGACGAGGCTTTCGTTTCACGATTTACTGGAATGGAGTCAGAAAATCGCGCGATTTCTCAAAGAAGATTGTGGATTTCAACCAATGAATAGAGTGATTGTCATCCTGCCAAGGATTCCGGAATGGTGGGCTCTTAATCTTGCAGCAATTCAGTGTGGTAAGTAATTGTTTAGAAGTTTGCTGACGTATTTTTGAATTTTCATTGGAAATTGTATTTGGATTGTATTTTTACAAAAATAAGAAAAACATAGCAAAAGAGGATAGAAATGTAAAATATATTATCTATCACCAGGAATTTTGTGATTTTGAGGTAGTTGAGAGCTTGGAATCCTGAAATGCTAAGTGAAGTTCAAATGCAAAGTTTCTATAGGTCTCTTAAGGAGTTTTGTGAGTGCCTAGAATGGACTCAACTGGGCTTATTTTGGGAACCTAAGAAAAAGGAGAAAACCATTGAAGTGTAACTAGATACTTTAAAAAAGATGAATTACTTATGCTGGCAAATGTACCTTTGCCTTTAACGCAGCATCCTTCAGCACTTCAAGGCCCAGAATATTGCCAATTTTTACTTTCCTATAATTTTTTCATATTTAAAGAAAATTCATTTTTAAAGCTTAAATTTTTAATGTTGGTTTCCTAAACTGAAAACCTCCTTGAGTCAATTTTTGGCCATCTGGACGCAATGTAAGGGTTAACTGTACAGGTAGACTATTTACAAGGATTTTGTCTACAATGTTTTTCTCTGTAAGTCAAAAACTTCCTAGTGCTAAATTGCGTTCAGTCCTCATCTAAATTCGATTGAGAAGACTATGACTCAACCCCCATGATTCAAATTTTGCAAAGCGTTGGTGTCTGGAATTCTGTGAAACTCATTTATATTTAAGTTCCAAAAGTAGCTGTACCCATCCTATATAGAGGTTAGCTACACCAAAAATCTCACTACAACCATGTTTTTTTTTCTGGCCACATGCTTTTTTTTTAAGAGAGAGTCCACATAGGGGTGGCTGGAATAACGTTGTCAGGCCCAAACTTGTCAGTCTGGAATAATCTTGTTGCAAACAAAACTTGTTGCAGATTATTGTTGTCAGAAATAACCTTGCCTTTATGTATTATCCAAGATATGTTGGGACTTCAGGTATTTTTTGGCTGTACCATCCGAGTGGGGAAATAGTTGCATGGGGATATGTTTGTAATTCTACACAGTGACTCTGCTGTGCACCTGAAGTGTATGAAAGTTCTTCTGTGCCACATGCATATCCCTAATGCGCCCCAATTGCGTGTTCACACCAGAATACTCAGGGTCACATTTGTAAACAAATAAGTTACATCAAGGTTACAGTTGGTGCATTTGTGTGATACTCTTGTTATGTCACATCTGTGCACCAAGTGTAGCCCTGGAATGGTAGCAAAATTTCCTCTACACCAGTGCACACTTGTAACCCCAGAATATCCGGTATGCACCAGTTGTGACCCTGGTGTGCACCTACTGTGAGGTCACAGCAAAAATAGCTCCCCACTTGGGCAGGTTGGTCCAGTTCTTAAGTGCTGGAAGATTTTTTTTTTATTTTTACAAGTTTGTTCCAGGAGAGGCTTGACAGCAATAATCAGGTATTGGAATGACAACGTTATTCCACCATCCCCCATATAGATATTATTTTCTAGTTCTTTGGTGGTTCTTTTCTGAAGCATATTGCAATTGCATTCCAGGGGTGCTGCTGATTCCGGGGACAGTGCAGCTGACTAGCAGCGACATCGCGAAGCGATTGCTGACAGCTGAGGCCCACGGCGTGATTTGCTCCCAGGAAACCCTGGCCCGAGTCCAAGAGGCCCTGGAGAAACGGAGCCCGGCGCCGGTGCACCGCCTCCGGGCGACCATTATCGCCGCCAGCAGCTCGGCAACGACCGACCCTACTCCCCTGTAAGCACCCCCTTTATCGCCTTTCCTCTTCGCATTTGCATCTCAAAAGGGAGGAAAGAAGCAGAAGGAAAAAATAAAGAGACGAAGCAAAACGAACCTTGGAAATGTAGGGACAAGAAATGTATAAAATGAAACAAGCAACGTGGACTTGCTCGCATTCTTGCTTTCTCTCTAAAGCCCCAGAGAGAAAGAGAGAATGATAATTCCTTGCAGCCCCTTTTTGCTTTTTATTTTCTTCAAAGCTTTTTTTTATTTTGTTTTTATCCAGCTTCTTTTGTGTAACTTTTTCTGAGGCTCTGCGTGTTTCAGTTTCTTTTACATTATCTGCTCATACATTAATGCAGAATCGTTTTATCCAGCGGTTTTAATCACCTCGCGATGCGGAAGAGAAAAGTCGCTGACTGTAGAAGACGTTGCTTGTTTCTTTCCTGAATGGCATGTGCTTTGTTGGAAACGTAAAGTAATTGCGTATTAAATTATTTTAATGTGCAGTGCACTCAAAAGAAAATTATACGGATGATTCGAACGAAAGTAATCCGCTATAGAGGTACCCACATCTACGATATTTTATCTTTTTTTGTATAGAGATTAAATATTTTTCTAAAATAACTTCAGGTAATTTATTATTTTCAAAATTCAATATCTACATGAAAAAACTGATCCTGATATTGATCAATTCTGCTATGTGGAATTAGCTTTTTCGAAATTATGTAGACTGAAAATCTTGCGAAGTCCTGAGGGAAATTTTAGATTATGAAGACACGGAATTTTTCGAAAGATTTCGGAGTACAGTACGTATACCGTATATAAATGCATAGAATTTATATTTTATGACGCTGTTCCAATTTCTAAAAAATTTGTACTCGTGATGTGGGAAAACTTGAATCCAAACTGTTTTTGGAATCTTCGCACAATCCAGGAGCGTTTGTCACATTTTTCAGCAGTTTTTCAGGCGCACAATTTTTATGCAATCATTTGAATAATTTTCAAAATAGGAAAACTTCTAATTTATTATTTATTATATAGATGCGTATGTTGTATATTAATTTTGAATCAGTGCGTAGACTACCATGGAAATTTTGACAATTAAAAAAAATAAAAATGACTCATAAAATTATGTGCATGCCTTTCAAACACAAAATAATTCGTGCTGATCTTGAAAGTTCAAACTAATGCATGTCATAGATCAAAAATTTAATCCGTTCCTTTTTTAAATTCTAGGAATAGAAGTTGTCGTGAAATTGTCAGAAATACACGGATTCCAGCAATAAATTGGTAGATGCGTGTCAATAAATTGACGTTATAGTCATTTATGGAAAGTTTGCGGTCTAGAGACTGGAATAATAGAACTGATGAATAAATTTGCCTTTTTAATTATCCCATAGAACTGTGAAAGTTAAATTCGGTTTTAATTCTTGGCAAATATCATTCACAGTGTGCCGCCGGGATGGAAAGTACTTCCTGGATTACAAGACAAAGACCTGGATCCTTTAACAGGGTACTTTCCAAGCAGATCTGGAGACCCTTGCAACCTGTTTTTCACTTCTGGGACCACAGGGTTGCCAAAATTGACATTAGTGAATCATGTCAGCTATGGTATGGGCCACTGGGGAACTGGAAGGTATGAAATGTCTCGATTTCTATATGTTCAATGAATTCTGACTTTGTAACTACTCAAGGAAAGTGACATATAGGTTTATGAAAATGTTGCCGGAATTTCACATGGAAGATGTACGTCATAGTTCAAGTACTTCGCTATATTGTGCTCAATAAATCAGAAAATGCATTGACACATATTTTATTTCAAATTTTTGCACTAGCATATCATGTCACTCACTATGGGAAGGATATTAAAAATTGATAGTTCACTGATTTTATTTTTCAGATTATGGCTGAACAGTGGTTCTGAAGATTTAGTCTGGAATTTGTCTGACACTGGATGGGCAAAAGCAGCGTATTCCTCATTTTATTCCCCATGGATTGCATGTGCAACTGTTTTCTCAGCTGAGGTGAAGCAAACTTTATATGTTGAACAATTTTAGCTTTTCGGAAGGCAGGTTTGATGATACAAGAGGTACCTTGCAATTTGACCCTAATCTGTTGCCAAACTATGGTTCAATTGCAAATTGGTAAAATTACAAGACACTCCATGAAATTCAAAAATATAAGTTCAAAAATGGGGG